TCGCTCGGATGCGTTCCTAGGTAAGCGAATTTTGTTAACTATTTCATGGGTTTTAATTTTGTACGCGGAATCCTAATCCTTTTTCTGAAATAAAAGTAGCCTATGTTACTCCTTATAACGTCATCTACCTGCCAGTGAAAGTCCCTTCAAAATCAGTCCAGCCGTTTCGGAGATTAGTCGGAACGAACAGACTGACGAAAGTTTTAAATTTTTTTTTTTACTTATTACATTGTACCGTATATAATTTCATATGCATTTAGTAAAAAGCTGTTATTTTGACATTACAAACAGACAATTCAATTTTATTTATCTGTCTGTACACATATAAATTTACGTCGCACTAAGTGTCAGACCGATAACAAAACAATGTACGTATTAGTACACGTTATACTCGTACTTTCAATTTCATCTACACGCTTGGCACTCACGTCTACTGCACGACTTTCACAATATCCATACTAATATTATAAATGTGAAAGTATGTTTCTTTGTTGGTTTGTTTGTTTGTTTGTTTGTTTGTTTGTTTGTTTGTTTGTTTGTTTGTTTGTTTGTTTGTTTGTTGGTTTGTTTCTTTGTTTGTTTGTTTGTTTGTTTGTTTGTCCTTCTTTCACGTCTTAACGGAGTGACGGATTGGCGTGATTTTTTATGTGTAGATAGTTAGAGGGATGAAAAGTGACATAGGCTACTTTTTACCGCGGGAGATTATCTAATTCCCACGGGAAAACACGTTATAATACAATCCAAAAAAAAATATTTATTATCAGAATTACTTGAAACTTGATATCAATGCTCTTCAATAAAATTAAATGAATACGTGTTTTAGCATTTTTCGAAATTTATTCTATGAGGATGTAAAACGGGTAGTGAAAGTTTGTATGAAACTACCATTTCAGAGATTTTATTGTAGTTTTAGCGCGAGCGAAGCCGCGGGTTCTGCTAGTTTTCTATATATAGATAACTATTGTAATTGAAGTGTTTAGGTTTGAAAGTATATACGGTAGGTACTTATAAGAAAAAGTTTTGGTATACCTAGAGATGGATGGGACCTTTGTGTAATGGGGTTTGAAATTTTGTATTGGAAACAAATTATTTCTCAAGTCGAGGACATAATAATTCGTTATATTCTATATTCTTAGTAGATTTCTCAGAGATGAGATATTTTACCGCAGTAAAATGTATTATATATATTGACTCGGATACCCGGCTATCAACATACCAAATTTCATCAAAATCTGTTTAGTATTTTTCTCGTAATGCCTTCCCAAACAGACAGACAAAAATACTAAAAAGTATAGATTCGGCCTCTGTATCGATAATATTTGTATCAAGTAGAGATAATATGTGTAGACTGTAAAGTATCGAGAATATATTATGTCTATTTCAATAAGATTTTCCAAAAAATATTTAATGTACAGATTTGGCTTAGTTAGTGAAAGTCCCATCAAAATCAGTCCAGCCGTTTCATAGATTATCCGGAACAAGCAGACAGACAGACAAAAATTTTAAAAATGTATTTTATTTATAAGTACCGTGTATAATTTCATATGCATTTAGTATTTTCACGCTGTTATTTTGACATTAATCAGTATAGATGTGTAGAAGATAAAGACAGTTTCGGCGTTTTTGACCAATCAAGGTAAAATAGGGTATGTTATAACCGTTAAAACCTACACTAGAAACCTGAGTGAAGCTTAAAGTCGCAACTACAACTTTTATGCCCGATTTCACCAACGTCACCTAAGTTTAAGGGATCCCCTAAGCATGGTTAGGGGGCTGTTACGGGACGGTTTCTGTTTCACCCGACAGTTAGGGGTCACTTAAATATTAAAAGGCCCCCTAAATTTAGGTGCTCGAAATATGGGCTTAAAGACGATGGTAAAACGAAATTTAATTTAGAGGCTAGTTTAGGGGTCTTTTAAGCAAGGGATCCCATACGTGGGTGGTAGCTTATGGGTTGTTGATGAAATCGGGCATTATAATCTCTTATTATTTGTACTTGAAGTTAAGCGAATGATGCAATAACTCGAATGTTGTTTTAGATATGTCTGAAGCATACGATTTGTATGACTCATACAACGTACTGGCCAGACTAGACCAGTCATAGTGTAATGTCGTGCAATATTGTGCTTTTTTTTTGTTTATATCGAATTTTCATTTCACTTATATATCGTCGTCTCAGTGCTTATTTGTTCAAACCACAAATACTTGTTGTACTTTACTGTAGAGAGGTTTCGTCTTCTATTTTAAAAACAAAGCTATATTTCTAAGATTTATAAATTAACACACAGCGCCATCTAGTTCCATGGTAAGCTACGAGGCTTGTGTTATGGATAACAGATAGTTGATACACTACGCATTCGTGCTCATCATACAAATGAATGTCCCCAGCGGGACTCGAACCCGCAAACGCTGGCGCAGAAAGTAGGGTCACTACAAACTGAGCCAAACGTGTCGTCAATTAGAGATGTTTGCACAAGAATGTGCACAAACACTATGTGCACGCTCTAGTCCGCTTACTTTACAATCAAAATAAATCCGCAAAAAATACGAAATTGTTATGAACTGGCAACATTGTTTCTGGTCTTGACGGTCTCTAAAATTAGTCAATACGTAATAACAGCTTGTTATTATCGAATGATTGCCATTTTGAAATATAAAGGACCAATCGTGCGCTACTAATATTATTCATCTGGAAGATTGTGAGGATGTAACTGTAATGATGTATGTTAGTTAGTCTTTCACGTAAAAACTACTGAACGGATTTTAATGAAACTTTACAGTAATATAGCTTATATATCAGAATCACACATATGCTATAATTTATAAAGATATAGTATATACTGGCGACTCACCCTCACTTCGCTCGGGCTCGTCCCTACGTGATTCTTTAACTTGACATAACTTTTTTATTTTTGAAACGATTGATATTAAACAAATGCTTAATATTAAGTGAAGCGTACAACAATATATTAGTGAAAACCGCACTTAATCGGTTTAGTTGTTTCTGAGATTAGCGCGCACGAACGAACAGACAAACACAAATTTCTGCCTTTAATATCTTCCATGTACAGACAGCGATCAGTTACAATTTTATTATATGTATAGATTTATATACTACGGGAGAGGAGCTGCGGGAAAGCGTACACTGGTTTAATTTAACGTATTCACGTAAATGTTAAATTTGAAGAGAATTGACATAATTGCGTTGATTTTTACACAATTTTCTCATAAAAAACAACCTTGGACTACCTTGACCGGTGGACGACCTTGTTTGTACTAATCATATGTTCTAGAAGGTTGGTTTTAATGTTGCCAGCGACTTTTATTGTGGAAAACTAAAAAAAAATCATGCCTTAGGCGTCTTTTAGTCTGCCCTACAAGTGTTTTATTATTATTTTTGTTTGAAATAATATTAATTAAAAAAAAATTAGTTTTTCATTTTTTTTTCTAAATATATTTAGCTTTTTTTATTTCTAAAAATAAATAAACCTTGCCTTTTCGTTGTATTTAAAGATTTTGTATAATGTATTATTTTTTCTTAGACTCATTTCCAATACGACAAAAACTGACACTTGAAATATTAGAAGGTGTATCAGCGACATCTATTGTGGAAAACTAAAATTGAAAAAAAAAACATGCCTTCGGCCGTCATTTTGTCTGCCTTACGTGTGTTTAATTATTTTTCTTTAAAATAAATTTTTACACTTTTTTTCTAAATATATTTAACATTTTCTTTTATCTCTAATAATAAATACACCTTGCCTTTTCATTAAATTAATTGATTTTCTACAATGTATTATTTTTTCTTAGACACATTTCCGATAAGACAATATAAAAAAAATATTAAAAGGAGTGTCAGCGCCATCTATTGTTCAATAGTACTACGTTACATCATTATTTGTAGTACATTTTCTCTTCGTTACACGACAGATGGCGCTAATTTGAAGAGCGCCATCTAGTGAGCGTTTTAAGAAATTATAAGTTTGTTTGTTTCGTTAATGTAGGTAGATGGAAGCACGATTGTTAATATATTAAGTAATTTTGTTTTGAACCGATTTCGAAATAGCTTGGTTTTTTTTTATTTATTTATATTATTTATATTAAATACAATTTAATACATTTTAACGAAACTATCTTTTCGGATTTTATCGCGGTTTCATTTTGATTTTTGGTTCCCGACGCGACGTTTCGAATGCTTTACAGCGCACATGGTCACGGGAGAGACTAAGGTTTTAGATGTCTCAAAGGTCATTTTATTGTTGTTAATTTTTAACTTTATTTTTTAATTAATAATCGATTTTGATCTAGTCTAGCCTGAGTCTTTTTGACCGACTTCGAAAAGGAGGAGCTACTTAATTTGAATATTTGTTTTTCTTATGCTATTTCTGATACCTATCTTCATTGATCGTAAACAGATTTTCAGTTATTTTTTTTAAGTTCTACATGTAATTTTTTTAAATATTTATTATAATTGTTTATTCAATTCAAATAAATTACTTTCGAAGTATCTTTTGAGTTGAAAATCAATTATCCTTCTCATTTTGTTATAAGCCTGTTTGAGTAGGCTGTCTGTAACCACTATATAATACCTTTAAGACATATAGCACCTTAGTCTCTCCCGTGACCATGTGCGCTGTAAAGCATTCGAAACGTCGGGAACCAAAAATCAAACTAAATCCGCGAAATAATCCGAAAAGATAGTTTTATTTGAAATGTCAAATATTCGCGTAAATCTAAGAAAGTATTAAGAAAGTATTATAAACCTGTCTTTTATTTTTTGCAATGAATTGCTATGAAATTTTACATATATTGCAGTTTTTTTATGTACCTAATTACAATTATATGGTACCAAACATTTTTTTTAATCATTGTTTTATTAAATATGCTATAGCTTATAAAATTGTATACATAATCTGTGCTATAACTTCTTTTTATAAGGTTTTCTTTGAAAAAAAATTCGCCTCTGATGCTGTTAGTTATATCTATTTTGTTGTTCACAGGACATGGATCTGATCGAGGTTCTATGGAAGCAGGATGTGGACATGGGCTTCTCCCTAGATCCTATGCAGCCGGTGAGTGTCTTCTGAACAGCTATATGTGATACTATAATCCTGCCCTGGCTTTGCCTATTTTTTTAATTCAATCATACTTTTATACTAATATTATAAATGTGAAAGTTTGTGAGAATGGATGGACGTTTGTTACTCAATCACATCAGAACGGCTGAACGGATCTGGATGAAATTTGGCACAGAAATAGATTATAGTCTGGAATAGCACATAGGCTACCTTTTATCCCGGAAAAACGTACGGTTCCCGTGGGATAGATTTGTAAAAAAATTTGACAGAATTAAAATATTTTCCATTCAAGTTTAAAAATGGATAATCCCTTCGAAATGAATATGTTTTTGAATATATAGAAATAAATGGGAAAAATTATAAAATGTATGTTCTTTCTAACAAGATGTTTAAAAAGCTTTTTGTGTGTATGTTTGTCACTTGCTCGAGCTATAACGACTCAACAGATTAAAGTGAAATTCAAAAGGAAGATAGCTTATATTCTGGAGTAACGCAAACTTCTAGAAGATTTTTAGAATATCATAACAGAGATCTAAGGTTCGAATCCCTTTATTTATTCCCTTTGTCGACATGTTGGCTTAGGTTGTAGTGAACCTATCTGCTGTGCCAGCGGTCGCGGGTTCGAGTCCCGCTGGGGGCATTCATTTATGTGATGAGCGCGAATGCTTGTACTTCAGCCGTGGGTGTTTATATTTATAATACGTATGTATTTAAAGTTATATATGTGTAGTGTATCAACTATCTGGTATCCATAACATAAGCCTCGTAGCTTACCATGGAACTAGATGATGCTGTGTGTTAATGTACCGACATATTTATTATTGTATTATTATTTATATCGACAGGAGGGTCCTCATGCGACCAAAGTGGAATTAAAAGGCCAAATCGATAAAGAACTAAAATTAGCCGAAGAGAACATCCAGAAGAAGAAAGAAGAGACGGAGAAGATAGAGAAGGTCAAAGCTTCTCTACTTGAACCGGAAAAGGAGGTATGTATGCTTTATTTTTTTTTTATTTAAAACCCATACTTTATATGATATACATGTATATATGAACTTTTTCACTTCTTAAGGGGTAAAATTTCTAATAATTAATTATTTTTTAATTGTTATTTAGAAAGCTATATATATGTATCTATAAAATTCAAGTGTCAGTTTGTAACGTCAAAATAACAGATTTTTACTAAATGCATATTGAATTAAATAAGGTACTCATAAGAAAAATACATTTTTTTAAATTTTTGTCTGTCTGTTTGTTCCGGCTAATCTCTGAAACGTCTGGATTGATTTTGAAGGTACTTTGACGATAGATACTGTACTTCTGTATTAACGGGTTCGATTCCCAATGCAGGTCATTTGTAAAGTATATTTCTATATCTAGATGTTTTTTGATTTGTGACAGGATGACCCGTGGGCTGGACTCTCTTATACTGTGGACACTGAAACCGGTAAGTGATGTACTTTTTTATCATTTTTTCAGCTAACGGTTTTTAGGTTTTCCGCAGATTTCCCGCAGAGTCCTAAAATCTATATTAATATTATAAATGTGAAAGCTTAGATGTTTGTATGCTTGTTACTCTTTCAATCCCAGAACGGTTGAACGGATCTGGATGAAATTTGGCACAGAGATAGATTATAGTCTGGAATAGCACATAGGCTACTTTTAATCCCTGAAAAATGTATGGTACTGGCGTAAAAGAGTAACACACTACACTCACAACTCACAAACTTTCACATTTATAATATTAGTATAAGTAAGTATAATTGTCTAAATTAGTATGAATAGCCTCGTGCGAACCCACAGGAAGTGGCTATATCATACCGCGTGTAGGGAGCAAGTATATAAGGGAGCAACCCTTATGTATTTGTAAAGAGGGGTGTCCTGATACTCCCAATATTATAGGGGTTCTCAAAGTATCGTAATATTACATAGATAAAGAAATAAAATTGTAACTCAGTTGAATCTCTACATAATTTTTTTTTTTTGGAAAATCTTATTGAAATAGTCATTATTATCGATACAGAGGCAAAATCTATAGTTTTTATAGTTTTTGTCTATCTGTATGTCTGGGAACGCATTACGAGAAAAACACTGGATGGATTTTGACGAAATTTAGTATGACGATAGCGGGTTATCCGGGTCAACATATATGATACTTTTTACTGCGGGAAAATATCTAATCTCTGCGGAATCTATACTTAACGTTTAAACATAACGAAGGCCGAACCCGAGCGGAGCAAGGGTGAGTCGCTAGTGTATATATAAAATTTCGTGTATCTCGGAAACGGCTCTAACGATTTGGATCAAACTTTATATTTAGATAAGGTTTTGCTCTTTAAGTTTATCTATATAGCTGTATTTTCTGGAAAGAAAAACGCAATTTATATATCTTTACTGAAAAATTCCGAGCGAAGCTTCCACGCCAACAGGTATCTATCTACTAGAGCCATAAACGCGGGCGAAGTCACAGTATGTATCTAGTATATGAAAGATCAAAATAGCATTTGATAAATGCCACGTCATAAGACTAATGGTGTTTTACAACGCCGCTTGGGGTAGCTCGGAATAATTTACGTGATTTTTTGTAAAAAAAAATTTTTTCGTTATATATAACATATGTTTAGGAGATTTTTTTGATGTTTTTTTGTTTATTATTTTTTTAATGATATTAGCTATTAGGTATGTTGTTGTCTTGCCAATAATAAATCCTAATTGTAATCTCTTCTATTATAATATTTGAAACAGAATGTATGTACCTAATTGTGTGCAGTGTTTATAGCATCGTATATATAGCGGGATAGCTTTAATATGTATACACTATATATATATATATATATATATATATATATATATATATATATATATATGTATATAAAAAAATAGTAACGAAGCGAAATCTGTACGTAACCTGTTATGTACGGAATATAGACCCCGAAACAATATTTTTGGATTTTTTTGTCTGTTGGTCTGTATATCTATGTTCATTCCACGCAAAAATTCCTAAAACGATTTTAACCAATTTGTGTGTAGTGATAACTTATTAGTTATTACTCGGCTCAATATTTAGGAGACCTTTTAATGCAGGAAAATGTGTCATCTCCATGGGAAAACTTAAATAACTGGTTCTGTCGAGTCGTCCTTAGATATTTACATGTCTAACATTGGCTGAACCTTAAGAGATGCATCAAAACCATGTACTAGAATATTGTAGGTCTTTAAAAAGCCTACAGAGAAGTTCGCAATAACTATTTTTATTTATTTAAAACGTACCTACGCACCCAATCAATGCGAGGATAAGTAGCTGGTGTTGTTTAAAAATTACTACAACGTGGTATTTAAAAGAGCAACCTTGTCGTTTTTCTCGGGCTCTCCTCAGCAGAACAGCTTTCCGAGTCGGTGGCAGCTTCCACACGGACTGACTACACTGACGCGCTTTCAGTTAGATATATTGACGATTCAAAAGTGCTTATATTAAGTCTTAATTGGATCAAGTTGATTTCGAATTCATAGAATTTTGAATTTGCAAGTATATAATTTGTTTTTCTTTGACCTTGTCTTTTGACTCGGGAATTAATTATAATAATAAATATGTTGGGACATTAACACACAGCACCATCTAGTTCCATGGTAAGCTACGAAGCTTGCGTTATGGATACCAGATAGTTGATACACTACACATATATAACTTTACATACATATTATAAATATAAACACCCATGACTAGAGTATTCATCCAGCGGGACTCGAACTGAGCTAAACGTGTCGTCAAATTGAACCCAGGACACTCTAAACTAGCGACAAGGCAGTAACTTCAAACTACTGACATCTCTATATAATACATACATACGTATACAAAGACAGCTGAAGAATCGAATGCTTTATAAAACCATTAACTAACAAAAGATATTTTATTATGCGATATATCCATAATATCACCAATTTTAAAAATGTAAAAAATGGTCAAGTTCGAGCTGGTACTACGAAGTGGGTTCTGTATATACATACATACTCTCGTACATATATATTCATATTTAAACAGTAACAGAACAAAAACAGTTTTCATTCCGAATGATACATTAATAATAAAAGACTGAAATATGAATTGCGAAATTGTCAAAGTAAAAGAACGTAAACTTATCGAAATGAAGCTTTTAAAAATAACAAATTATAATTAGCCTACTACTAACTACCTTTTCCATCCAAACATGTTTTTCCGACTTTGTATCATTGTGTCGTTCATTTTTCTTTATCACCACGATATAATTATAATAATTTGCAATTAAATTAAAACAAATCAACAATGAAATTATTTTTCAGACAATAACAACGGTTACCATGGCAACAAACAGTTATCAGCTAACTTCTTCATGTCACTTTTTGGCTGTCGGTGTGCGTAGTTAAAATTTTACACATATTTTTTTCCAAACGTCCCAAATAAAACATAACTTCAAAAAAAAACAAATAAACAAACTCTTTATAATATTAATAGACAAGAAAGAGTAGAAGTATATACAGGCAAAGACAAAACAGTTCATTACCTTTTTCTCCTCTGTTTGTCAAACGATTTTCTTTAACTTTGTTAAGTAGCCATTGACAAGCTTCAGTGTTATCAATAAAAAAATATTATTGTTGAAATTCGACCACTATGGGCGTCAAATAAAATGGTCATTCATATACGGAACCCCAAAAACGTAACCAAAGTATTAATCATAAGAACACTGCCCAGGACGATGACTTGTGAAAAAGTTGAATTCTTTTTAAAAATTCGTATGCGGCTGTCATTCGGTACCGGCAGCCGTTTTAAATTGAGCTCTGAGTGAAATAAGGTAGAGCCGGCTCTTTCACCGACTTTGAAAAAGAGCCGTTCATATTGTCTATTTTTGTGGGTGGGTTAGGTGTTATTTTTGCCGATTTTCTGGTGTTTTTCAAAGAGCAGGTTGTATATTTTTAATGATTCCCCATAAAGTATATTATGATATTAACAAAATTATCAGGTAAGACTTGTTTAGATTTACGCGATTTTTTACATTTTAGAATCAATGTATCTTTTTGGATTTTGTCGCGTTTTTAGTTAATTCATGCCCATTTTCACCCCCTTAAGGGATGATTTCCGGGATAAAAAGTATCCTATGTCCTTTCCAGGGTCTTAAACTAATCGTCTCACCAAATTTCATCTAAAATTTCATCAGTAGATCAGAGATTACCCCCATAACGTCACAAACTCACAATTCACAAACTTTACCTCTTTATAATATTAATATAGATGTTAGATAATTAATTATTGTTAGATTATTACGTATTGTTATTTATTAATATTCATATAATTATTTATGCTGAGTATGAACATTTCAGTTAATATGAGTTGTTGTATTGACTTTACTTTTAATGGATAATCAATATGGACGATATATTGTTTTTGTGACAAGGTGAGGGTAATTACGATAGAACCGACTCGATGATGGCAGCAGATATGAATGTTAGATAATTAATTATTGTTAGATTATTAAGTATTCTTAATTATTAATATTCATATAATTATTTATGCTAAGTATGAACATTTCAGTTAATATAAGTTGCTTTATTGACTTTACTTTTAAGAGATAATCAATATGGACACTATATTGTTTTTGTGACGGAGTGAGGGTAATTACGATAGAACCGACTCGATAATGGCAGCAGATATGTGAATATGATATTCATTCTCACTCCGATTTTCGATCAGTGTAGACTAATAATAAAACCTTACATAAAGCTTCTGTCGTTTTTCTTATATCAGAAGCCGGGATCACTTTAAAAAAAAAAATGTATAAATCCAAACGACCTCGCTCACGATCACGTGGTCATTCTGAAAGACAAAGGAAACGGCAGGCTGGTGAAAACGTGCAACGAAATAACGAACAAAGAAGAAAGAGTCGTTCAAAGAAAACGAGAAGTTCAAGATCAAGGCGAAGTTCTACAAGAACACCGTCACAGCCTAGACTTATTGATGTGGCGGAGCAAGACAAATCTAATCAATATGCAAGAAAATCTGCGACCGGACGAGAGCCTAGTGCACCAATAGCAAGTATATCTGCGACCGGACGGGACGATATGAGTTCAAGAATTTCTGCGACCGGACGGGGCGATACGAGTGCGAGTATTTCTGCGACCGGACGAGATGCAACTCACCAGGCAGAGTGCTGTGGATCAAGAGGTGAGCTACCAATAGAAGAATCACGACGCTCGCCTAGGCCTCAGGAGATGACATCGGCGTCGGCACCCGTACCATTGAATATATTAGGTGAGACGAATGCGAATACTAATTCAACTATGATGGTAAATTTTAATGATATAGCTAATTTTGTTCAATCTTTAAATAAGCCGAGTTTACCGTCAAATAATAATTTATTGCCAGAATTTGATCCGTCTATTAAAAATCATCGTATCGATCTATGGTTATCAAAGGTT